ATAGATAGATAGATAGATAGATAGATAGATAGATAGATAGATAGATAGATACATTGCATTGTATTGTATTGATTTTTGATATTGATTCCCACTGAAAAAAACAACAACTTTTCAACAAACTATTGATGAATAAGAGCAGATAAAAACAAAATCAAGTTGTTCTCCTAAATATCCTTTCAACATATTTTTTATGAATTAAAATTTAAAATACTGATTATATTTTTTGCGATAATGATTTAAAACATGTATATTAGAGTTAATTTCTTAAAAATATTGCCCTTTGGTTATACCTCCACCTTTCTGAGCAGAGCAGGTTGGGAGATGGTTATTTAGTTTTATTTAGTTTTATTGTTATTATTTTTTAACTACCTATTCGAAGCTGAGTTTTTGGAAAAAATCTGTGCGATCTGAAACAAATCAATGAATCTGCCTTATATTTCCACATACCTACAAAATGGGGGGAAATCCGTGTAATTTACAAATAATCCATACAACTTGACACGTATGTCTGTTGWTGTGTAAAGCACCTTGATCAGTCGCAACATAAGTGTCCAGACTATTTACCACTTAACTCAGCAAGTACTCAGTATTGGCAAGTACACAAACTGAAGTAGTCAAAGTCATTGAAGAATTATTTGTTAAGAAAGTCACTGGTYTAATAGATATAATGTGTAAATAACTATGATAAAGCTGTATTGTTGTCAAAGGAGCTGYAAGACCTTTGAGTGAAAGCTGAGGAGGATTTCTTGTGACAAAAGCATGCAGCTGTGTGGCTTAAATCTGGAATTCTTTTTCTGCCGTTGACAACACGACAAATCAAAGATCTGCTGTCAAAATGGTTWCATCCTTTCAGAGTAGGAATCTAAAAAAAACTAAAAGTTTTTTTTTAAATAGTTTTCTTTGTTTCTTTATTCACAGGATTCTGTTTCAGCAGACGTGTCACTGAGGTGACCCGGATACGCTGCAGCACAATCAACCCATTAAACCCACAGTTTTGTTCTTGGCCTGGAGGGTCTGATTTAGCCAGTCTAAACACACTCCCAAACAGGTTTAGTTGGACAATGAGAGGCAGTTTATTACATACAGACACAGCGGGGCCTACTTGGCCAGTTTCTTTGTGAAACTGGGTCAGTTCTGAAACACTTTTTCCTTCCTTTTACCCCAAACACGTTTTCTTCTACTCTTTTTTGTAATGTCATTTACATATGAAGCCTTGTCAAGCAGACGTCTTCCACTCTAATCCTCTAATCTACTAACCCTGATACCTTCATTTGTTTCTCAGATCCAGTTTGAGCAAATGAAACTTTTCTGCGTGTCTTTGAAATGTTTGACACAGACCAGAAGGCTGTCATAAAACAAACCAACTGGTCCCGCTGTGTCTGGGGCCGGATCGCTGACTGTTTTCTCGATGCGTGTGTTCCCCCAGGGAGGGTTGAGCGAGCTAGACCAGACACACACACACACAGAGGAGAGAAAACAGAGGAGATGCTGAGAAACACAACCAAGATCTAGTCAGACAGGAAATAACCTCTCAGAGCGAAGGGCTTCCCCACGGGTTGTCTTTCTCTCCGTTTCTCACCGAGGCTCATCTCTATAAAAACGATGATTCGCACCAACAGACATGCATGAGAGTGAGGGAGGTTGGAGAATGTGTTCAACATGTGCTGGGAATGAAAAGAGCTGCAACAGTCATGCAAGGGCTCAGCTTTCCAAGACTTTGCATCACTTATATCCCAAGCGTGGCTAAAAAACAAAACAGATGTATTCTTGTATATGTGTATATAAATGTTTGTTATAGGTGAGGTTGCATGAAGTCAGCCGAGAGGACGACGTGGAAAATCTAGACCAAGAGTTTCCAAATAGAATATTTGATGTTTTGAACTGATTGAGTGTGTTTGTCTCATTTGTTTCTCTGCAAGCCCATGGACTGACTGCACAGGGTGTACCTCACAGCCCACTCATTGGCTGCTGGAGATCAGCACAAGCTGCACAAACAAGCAGGTAAAGTAAATGGACAAATGGAAGAAGACCAAAGAAAATATTTTTGTAAACATGCAATTCTGACTTGATAAACAAGATAGTAGTGTCATTACATAATGTCAAGTTTTATATGATCTTATTGCAAATTGTATCAAATTATCATATTATGTACCATAACTAACATCTTATAACATATAATTATCATATCGTGGCATGTGTCGTGTCATATGGTACGGTACAGTACGGTTTGGTAGTTATGGTACAGTACAGCATGGTATTGTATCATACCATTTTGTATTATATAAAAATCACACTCTCCAGTGCCCCATAATGGTGTGGGAACCATTGCATGTTGTAAAAATAACAATAATTATTATATTTTACCCTTTAATTGTGTTTATTTTGCTACACTGAATCAGAA